ACCCTTTCTTTCTAAGAATGCATGCTCATTAGCAGCGCTTCCCTCTTGTCCGACCTTACAAGCAGCAAAATCAATCACTGAAGTGGCGTTTCGGATGATGGCCACCAGTGCGGCGACTCCGTAACTGGAACTTGCGGATAAAATACTATACGTCTGTAGGCCTTTACATGCGTGCTATCGACTGGTACAACTTAAGTTTATTTACTTTCACAAAATAATTTATACAAATATCTAAATTTCCTAAAACAAATTATTTAGCCATAATTTGAGCCCACTTTATTAAAATATGCTTTTTATTTCTTTAAACATTTTTTTTACTGTTAACGTTTTGTGGGTATCATTAAGTTAACTTTTTGTGGGCATCATTAAAGTTCCCTCGATTCTGTTGTATTTTCAGTAGAAGTGCTCAAACAGAGATACACGCATCCGAACCTGCAAAAAAGGTAGTTTCGGAAGTTGGAGTCACTGCAAGATTATTTAGCCTTAAAACACTAAGGAAAAGGAGGTCGGAAGTGTTTTGAAGGTCAAACGGAGACGGAATGTGGCGATGGAGAAGGGAAAGGGGCCAGAATTTATTGGACGTCTCCCTATTAGAAAATAGATCTCTGCCCTTAAGCCTCCTTTGTTCCAACGCCACTGGCTGCGCTTATCCCTTTTTCTTTTATTCCTTGAGGGGGATTTTAATTAGGACAACTGGGTCAGGCTGCATATTTTTGTTTATGTCAGGGAGTATATACATACGATATTCCTTTATTTCACATCTCGACTCTATCTCTTTGCGGCTAAGAACCACAAGATAAGGTCTGGAAGCGGCAGTCTATGTGTTGGAGTTACCATTCCAGTCCCCTTCTCGAGCTTTTTACCTTTGAAGTTGCGTGTGTCCAGTTCTATCAATGGATGTCGTTGAGGTAGTCGTGACAAATCATATGCGTTTTTTAACTAAGATGTTGGCGTGTATTTGATTTTTTACGATCGTCCTTGCAGAATCAATGTTCATCGTTGAAGTCTATTGGCAGCCGTCACAGGGATTCCTTTCACTTGTTCAAAAATGCCTGTGAGCGCCTCGTGACTGGTGTATAAGACAAACGTTCTTCCCCAAAGATAATGGTGAAACGTTTTTACACCAAAAATGACTGAAAGGGCTTCTCGCTCGATCTGGGCGCATCGGTTTACTGTGATTTTAACGATTTAGTTGCATGTGCAATTGGGCGTTCCTTTCCGCTTATCTTGTGGAAGATGACGGCTTTATCGCCTATCCATGACGCATGGGTTGCCAGGTAGTTTGTTTCACTTGGGTCAAAGTGAACGAGATCTCCATGGATGTCAGACGAGATTTTAAGACCTCAAATCCTTCCAGGCAGGGTAAACTCCACTGCTAGAGAACACTCTTCTTGAGCAGTTTGTTCAGGGGTGCACAACATTTCACTAACGCGGGTAAATACTTCCTATAATATTGTACCATGCTCATAAACGCTCTTAGATCATCAAGCTAAGTTGGTGCTGGCATGATCAATATTATTCCCGCTTTCTTTTGAGATCAACTTTGCATGCCCCAATTCCCAGGTCTTGAGTTACTTATTTCATGGTCCTCTGGAACATGACCGGCGCTGATGATATCCCAAATGGCATCCAGTTAAAGTTCAGCAATCCGTTGTGTGTGATGATAACGGTATACTTCCTTGTATTGTCCTCCAACTCCACCTATACGTATGCCTCCGACAGATCTAATTTGAAGAACTTCTGTCCTCCACGAGCTTCAAGAAAAGTTCCTCAGGTTGTGGAATCGGGTACTGTGCGACATTCAACTGACGATTGACAGTCAGTCTGAAATTTTCACATACCCTCGCGGATGCACTATTCTTCGGGCCAACAACGATCGGAGTGGCCCAATTCGCGGTTTTCACTAGAGTCAGAGCTCTATTTTCAAATACACTCTTCAATTCAGACTTCACCGCTTCGTATAATGCACACGGTAGTGGTCGTAAACGCATGTACTTGGAGATGCTATTCTCCTTGATCTGAAGTGTAACTTTGATCCTCGTGCACAGCTCATGTTCATTCTTGAATGGTTCTGCATATTTAGTTTGTAACATCTTGACGCTTTTTTTTGTGCTCGCAAACACGACGAACATTTTGTTTAGATTCAGTTTTAGTTCTCTCACACAGTGTCACAAAATCCGGCTGTGTTACATTATTCATGTCATAAAATTCGATGGTGTTACATTATCCGATCTCCCGGGTGGACGCGTCCTTCCAAGAAATTCGCGGGGTGTGAGCGGCTGTGTTACATTACTCACGTCATAAAATTCGACGGTGTTACATTATCCAATCTCCCGGGTGGACGCGTCCTTCCAAGAAATTCGCGGGGTGTGAGGGCTGGGACCCAGCTTCCACGAAAACGAAGCGATGCTGCCTTTGGGGGAGGATAAAGGGAGGAGCGGGCCAGCGTCCTGGGGTTCGGTTTCTTTTTGTTTTGTTTTCCACACCTGCGTGCTTGAATGCGGGGGCCTAAAGAGCTCTTTGGGGCAAAAGCGAGCAGTGTGAACGGGAAACTCGGAAGCAACAGACAGGGAATCGAAGGGTCGAGTTCGTGGAGCTCAGCGGTAGCGGGCCAGGTCCGGACTGGGGAAGACTTCGACGACGAAGTGTGTGTGTGTGATTGTGTGGCCGCTTCAAGCCGCCCAACCCACCGTGGTACCACCGGGGCCATTCCTTCCCCCTTCGGGCAGCGCCTCGCACGACCGTCACTTTCGGACACTGTGAGACAAGACTTCTCCTCCACTCGCATTTTTCTTTATAGTAATTAAGGTAGTTGTATTTCCGTAGTTGGTTTTTATTCTCAGGGGTATCCAATTGTATTATTTGATAACATTTAAGCTCCGAAGTTAATATTTTTTCCATGTTCAGGGAAGCTCCCGCGTAAGAGATGGTTAATGCATTGTAGTGAGCTGTAGACTTTGGGTTTTGCCCAATTCGTTGTGTGATGAGTGATTTTATCTTCACCGCCCGTGCACCGGCCGGGTGAAGTGCGTTCGAGTCCTTTTGTTTTCGCAGCTAGGCACTTGTTAACCTCTTTTTTGTGTGTGTGTGTGTTTTTTGTTTGTAGTATTAAAATTCGTTTCGTTGCAAACTTGTGGGTCTCCCCTTCATTGGCAAGGCTCCACCGAGGCGTGGACCTATCACCTGGTCTGCAGTCCTTTGTGTTTAAGCAGAGAATTTCAGCAAACCTGTGACACCCATGTTGTCTCCGACAAGTTGATGTGCCTTGTTCGCAAAGATTGTCTCAAGATTGTACTCTTTTCCTTGGAATTAAATCTGAAGTTTACGTTGACGGGTCTTTGCTGAAACTTCGCAGCTTGTGATGAGCTTCGCCGAACTCTGGTTTCATGAGGCGACGCCAAGTTTGAATTTCTAGTAATGTGACTTGTGAACCTGTGCCAATTTGAAATTCCCTCCCGCGGCTTCAATGTAACATGCCCCCCCTCCCCTCCCCCCCCCCCCCCAAAAAAAAAAGAGGAACCATCTCAAACGATGGGGTAAGTTTGCAATTTAACGGCGGACGACACCTGCGAAAATTGGTCACAAGTCCGCACGCGCGGCGTTTTCGCGTGGCAAGGAGAAACGCAGGCAGGAAGCCTCAAACGCTCGCAGACGACCAACGCTTTCGTCACCTCCTAGTAGCTCGCATTGAAAGCGCGGTCCATACACCACGTGACCCCAATCGAGCAGCTGGGAACTCTCTGTAGTGTAGGATCTCGCAAAATATTTCGGACACGATCTGCGGGCAGTGCGTGTGTTGCGATGAAAATGTTCGCTACCGCGAGGGGCACTGCAGCGCGCACGCGAATCGTTTTCATTACAACTCTGTGCAACCCCTCGCTCCCGCCGGTCACACTTCCCCTTCCAGCTACCATAGCGATAGCGTTAAGAAGCTTGTGTCGCATACTAGCCGGCGTCGGTGGCGTGACGCGAAAATCCTGATTGGTCAATAGGGTTGTGACGTCACAGCCACATTACCTCGCTTGGGAATTATAAACAACCCACAACGCTCACGAGAAACGTGACGTCGCGCGTGGAATGAAAGGGATTAAAAACATGACCTATATTGCGAAATAAATATGCCTCAAGGGATTTTACTTCATAAAGTAATTCATATACCCTAAATAAAAATGTGAAGGATTCTAGGTTCGATTCTAGTCAACGACCCCTCAGTTGCGAGCCAGACACGCCACTGGCTAGGCCACGTCTGCCGTACTTCCTGTTCACTGGCAGGATGAGCATGAGAAGCGAATATGAGGGCAATGCGAACAGGGCCCGATAAGCTATCGCATTCCGCTCTTGACGGCGAATCTTAAGCGTGCTCCAAGTTTTGGGGAGGAGTTCGTCGATTAAACCTTCATGTTCAGTTCATTATGCTTGGTCTCGTCACCTTCATCTGTGACAATATTATTGTCAATGTCATACGTACTTTGCTCATAGCAAGGTGATGTCGCAGAAGAGTAGCTTCGAGGTTAGAGCATAAGATGTAAAATGGTCGCAATTGGTGTATTAATATAAAGCTGCCCCATAAACGTGGCAGACTTTTCAGTAACGAACGCGAAAATTTAATTCAGCCTCAAGGATCCGTCATGGTCCCTAGTCTTACTCGAAGAGAATTTACTGTTGAAACTATTACCAGAAATAATCAAAGCCCACTTCATGTTATTTTTGCTATTTCTATTTTTTTTTTTTTTAATTAAGGTTACGCGGACCTTTTTGTAGTTTGTTTAATAATCTCGACAGCGAGTGCTCTGTTTTCGAATTCACCTGCAGCTGTGCTTCGGAGCTTTTTCGTACTGCGCGCCTGTACGTAAAAGCTGTAGTATAAACAAAAAAAAAAGAGGCTACAGAAGTGGGTAGCGTACGGGTCTGTTTTTCCTCGTCAGGAACACTTGTGGCGACGCAAAAAATTCCTCCACATTTTCTGTGAAAGACACGTGGTCAAAGGTACCTCTGCATTTATGGACTGGGCACTAAACGAACATCTAAAATCGAAAGACGACAGCTTGATGACACGAGAGAACGAGACTATCAGGTACCTGCATTTTTTTTTTATTATAGACCAACATCTCTCAAAGCTGGAGAGCTATTTTTTTTCAGTTTCTGAAAATCTTTCATACATCGTTTACGAGGGCAAAATTAGATTTCCGTGTTGGAGACAATACAGATAAAACACGGGACAACTGTTCGACTTTTAAATCGTTGACTAAAGGACACAGACATAATCAAAAAGCTTCAAAAGTATGACACCAAAGACTAAGCTACAATTTGGTGGCATCCGTTTAAGAAGTTACAATATTTAATAATAAACATTTACCAAAACTACATCCACAGCCAAAGCAACTTTTGCCAGGCAGCGCCTCCAATTTGTTTTTCGCTTGTTGTCTGTGCCACTAACAAAACAAAAGCAGGCAAATGTTAGAGAACGCTTTGACCTGTTTCTAGTGAGTTTAAAAATAGAAGCGCCTTCAAAGACTGATCTAAATGCGCTTAGTGTTCTGTGTTATCTTTCCCACTTTCCTCTCTTTGCTTAGACTGTGCGTTTTGCATATGTTAAGCGTAAAACAGATTACTGGTAGCGACGGTTTTCTTTTTTTTTTCTTTCCTTGTAGACACATCTTTCTATATCTATAAATAAGGATCATAAAGACAAATGTCCACTGATTTAAACATTCCTAGCCATTTTTAATTTTTTTTTCTATAGGCCAGTTTACGTTAGGTAACGTGGATCGGGCTATAGTAACTTCTAGTGTCACCTCCATGAAACTATCGTTATCATTACCCATTCTTGTTTTACGTAGACAATATTCTCGTCTGTCCCTTTTTCACAGAATTTAACATAATCCGGCCATGCGTCACAGTCTACTAACCCCTCCATATTATATTTCCCGTCGCTTAGATCATAAGAGCAAAGTGTGCGTCTTTCCATGCAACACTAATGCATTTTTTTATTTATTCATTCCGCGCACTTCTGTAGAGTGAAGCCACCTTCCTCATGACATTGCCACCATTGATGACCTATGCATTTTCAAAGATACTCTATCTAACTTTTTTATTTTTTTATATATGACAGTGCTTATTTTGCATGTTGTCATTTCTTTGTATTTCCCACTCCCCTCTGTAATGTCTCCGGACCTAGAAGGTAAATAAATGAATAAATATAAATAAAAAGGTCCGGCCGGCATTCGTCGCTATGGTACGATGGAGCCCATTAAGTGGTGCCGAAAGTACAACGTCCCTGACTCAACCAATGACTCACAGTGAACGCGTTGCAATGCTGAGGGCTTCGCTCTTCGTGTTTGGTTTAGCCGGCGGTAGCAAGCCCACAAAAACAACGAGAGCCGTGACGATGCCCTCTTGTCGCTGCCATTTTGTGGCTACCTAATTGTATCTATCACTTCGTAATGTTGTATGCTGTAGGGCTTAAAGTGAAACGGAGTGTATATCTATCTCGTCTCATAACTTTTTTTTATATTGCCGAGTTATTCAGACTTCATATTGTAATGCCTTTTGACGTTCACTTTGCGCCATTAGGCCGCCAGAAATGTCAAATCGTGAAGAACCACCGGATCCAAGAAGACGCAGACGAGCTCCCACTCCGGACAGCAAAGCGCACATCGTAGTGATCATAGCCACGGCGACCCTCCTCGCCGTGGCAGTATCGCAAACATCCGACTACATGAAGAGTGCGTTTATGGAGAAGTTTCAGGTTGACGAAAAAATGGCATCTGTGCCCAACACTGTTCTGTCGGTATTGCCGGATACTGTTGGTAAGCTGCGGGTGCCTGCATGGGTTCGGATTTTTTTTTTTTTCTGAAAGAGTGGAAGCGTTTTGAACTTTGTTAAATGTTATATCGACCTGCAGTTTCTTTTTTAACAAAGTATTTACCACTGACATCGCGGGACTGTTCAGAAGGACCACTTACGTATTGCCATGAGTGCGGTTACATATTTTGCCACTGAGGAAGAGAATAAGTGTATCACTGGAGCCAAGCGAAAACTAAGATAAAAAAATAATAAAACTTCATAGGTTTGCAATGCGTATAAGTTATATTTTTTTTGCAGGTCAAGACAGTCAGCCTTTTTGACTGTGCTAAACACTTTATATTGTTTCCAATAAGTTCTACAATCCAAAAAGTACATAATTAGTCTGCATAAAGTATCCCTTTTTTATGTTCTCAAAAATGGCTCAGCTTATACTCATTTATTTTATATTGACCTATTGGGTAAAAAACAAAAATAACTAACCACGTACTTTCCTCAACACACTTAGTCTTAATAGATTGAAGAATTCCGTGATCAAAAACTTGCTGTTCCAATCCTGTACACTGGGGTTCAAAAGTTCCTGTAAAATATTCGGTGCCGTAATTTGAAATATTCTTCGGTAGTATTCGCCCTTATCGTTCCGCAGTATTTTACAGTTCACGAAAGTTATTTGGTAATAAGGACGGTCATTTGTGAAAGTTATTTAGAAAAATATCACTTCCACTCCTCATCCGGTCATTGGTACACATTAACAGTTTGGCACATTGATACCTTAACCCCATGTTGATGTTGAAAAAAAGAAAAAAACTATGTGCAAATTTTGGTCTAAAAACATGTGTTTTTCTTGTGTGTAAGGCTTGTCAAATTATTAGGCGCTAAAGAAAACCAGCCTTCTGCGTTAAGTCCTTATTTCGAACTCTTTTTGTTCGCGTTCCGCCCATCGAAAAACATGCGGTAAGGGCCTCAGCACGCACCTCGTGTCGCTGCGCCGCAGTGTTCTTCCGCAGCATAACGGCCGTCTGCTTTCATCGCCGTCACCATGGCAACGAAAGTTGAGTTTCCGAACACCGTCTGGCAGCCGAGGTTTAATTGTTTTGTAATAAGCAGCCCCGAACCCTCGCCGCGAAGACGCGACGGTCTGCGGCTGCTGATGACACTCTCACGCTCATTACATTACACGCTCCTCAGTGATACACGCGCCGTCCGAAAAGGTCACTCGGCGTTCGTTGCCATGGTGACGGCGACGAGGCCGACGACCTTTATGCTGCGGGAGTACACTGCGGCACAGCGATACGAGATGCGTGCTGAGGCACTTCCCGCATGCTTCTCAATGGGCGGAACTCGAACAAAAAAGTTCGGAATAAGGATTCAACGCAGAAGGCTGGTTTTCTCTAGCACCTCCTAATTTTACGAGCCTTACACGAAAAGTGTGTTCTTTAACCAGCCCACGCCCTGTTTTTTTATTTTTTTTTTATTCCTATCATGGGTCTAGAACATCAAACTGCCGACAATGTTCCCCGTTTTGATGTATCCTAGATATTAGTACAATATTTTCATCTTAGCTGCAGTTGGGTGCGGTATTAGGTTGCCAGATCCGATTGTTATGGAGGTGCAAGGGCGGTACACAAATGACCTACCTACAAAATCACACCGAATGGTTGAACGGAGAGCTTACCGGTTTGCATGCGCGAGTCCTAAAGTAGAACGCAACGCCGTCGTCGTCGGAACCTCCATGGCACTCTTCGTGTTACGTGATTCTGTAAACGAGAGGCATTATTTAAACAGCTTAAAAAAAAGGCAGGCATGTCGCGCCTTTAGTATCTCACGATCATTCCGTAGCCATTCTGATGACGGCATTACTTATAACAACGTTGAGGAACCATTCACAAAGCGAGAAGCGAGAATGTGAAAAGTCGCACCCCGCGTTTCTGAACTTGTGAGTAAATATATATGCTATCTCTCTATTACAGAAGTTAGTGTAAAAATGCCGTGAATATTATCACATTATCATTATATTTTAACTATAGGTATACTCTAGTTTCCTGTTGAAAGCGTTTACTGGAGATAATTTACTTAATAAATCGGTTCATTTTTAAAAATAGAAGAGAGAACATTTCAGGTATCCTGGTCGGACCACTACAGCACACATTTTCCATACGATCCGTGATGATTGTGGGAAGTGTGCTTGCTTGGATTGGAATTATGGTATCTGGATTTGCCAGTAACATTCCCATAATGTCAGTGACACTTGGAGTAGTGCATGGTAAGCATGTTATAATTATATTAAATAAATAACAAAACTATGCATATGCTTTTTAATACGGTTTGACATAAAAGATTGCTTTTGCTGCATTTTATGGGTGGGAAAAAAACGAACTAATTTTGATAATGAAAAATTCTGAAAATAACATTCAATAACAGAGACGATATAATTAGGTTTACATTGTGTCACATAGATTTGAATTGCTACATTGAACGCCATGTAATTACGACAGAAACAGGGTGTGAACCGATTATGTAATACTAGTAATACCTATCGTTACAAAGCAAGTATGTAAATTCTTTTTTTTTTGTAAAATATCAATGCATTCATATTTATGATTTAACAAGGAAAAAATTACGTTGGCAGATTTTTAAAGTACCTGTTTCTATATATATAAAATATATATAATAGCGCTTTCAGGCGTGTCATTCAAGAGTCAGATTAAAAGTAATCGAGTATAGTTTGTTTTTTTCTGGCCAATTCATTAAAAATAACCTTTTCATATGAAAAGTACGCTTTCGCTTGATTTTTATACGTACCAAGTGAGACAATTTAATTCTCGGAATGGCGCTCGAAACCAAAGTTTGCTTTTTTCTCCGCTAGCGGCTGTTGGCACCCTCAAACTATTCGATTTTTGAAGCTAAACACATCGTAAAACGATAGTGTCTTTGCCAGAAACATTATTTTAAATCATTGTTTGGAAACCTCAAAACAACGTTTTCGAGTCGTTTTAATTGACGTCAGAAAGTCACCATACCTTAGTTCCATTAATGCATATCTTATTTCAACTTTAGAAAGAACCAAAATCGCAAGAGGCTAACTCAGGAAAATATCGCGCATGGCCGATTATTGTACCACATTTTTTAGTGAGGAATTTCAGATCTTTCATGCGTCATGCGCAGGAACTATGCCATCATAAAAATCCACTTGACAGGCTACAATTTGGTTTTATCCTCCGAACAGATTTACCCTAACCGTGTGATAACCTCCCAATAAACATGTTGATTGGCCATTAAAACTAACGCAATCGTTTCTAGCCAATTATCTTTTTGCACGCCTTTGGCACTCAAAAACACGAGCTTTCTCTATGGAATGTTTATCATACGCCATTTTTATGGGCTATGCCGAACATGTTGTTTCTGCTTATTTATGACTTTGTAGGAGACGACAAGGAAATAGAGTGGAGCAACAAGCGCAGGAGTGGAGTTGTCTTAGCCTCAGTGTGCGTCACAGTTTGCAAACAAAAAAGAGGTACAGTCCAATCTGATAGCAACACGCGCCACGCGCCGTGGCGTATCAGCCCACATTGGCTGTGATAGTACCTGCAGGTCTAAAACAAAAAAAAAAATATTTGTATTTTTTTTTCAACATTTGCTTGTCTTAAGGGTGGAAAAAATAGCCCTTAGCTTACAAAAATAAAAATGTATGCTAAGTACAAGGCAAACTTCGTACAGAAATGTCGAACACGTCAGGCATTTTGAACCAAGATTATCTTTAACATGTGTAGTATTGTGAGGTTGCATAAAGAGAATTCCTATATTGGCTTTTCTTACTCAATAATAGTTTTATTTAAATGTTCATGCTCACTCTATCCACCTTTTCAGGTATAGGAAGTGGAACGATTTTGGTGTCGTTGTATCTCCTAACGATGATGCACTTCAGCAAGTTCAGGGGAGTCGCTCACGGCGCTGCGTCACTTGGGAAGCCGCTGTCCGGGCTCGTTTTCACGGAACTTCTTAATTTCTTTAAGGAATCGTACGGCATCCAAGGAAGCCTTTTTGTGCTCGGTGCCCTCTCTATGCACCTCACGCCTCTCGCGTACGTATTGAGAGCTCCATTCTCAAGCAGAGCGCCTTCCATGAGCAAACGTCCTACCACAGTGGGAGCAGACATCTCCAATGAAAGCGGAAAGTACATTGAAATGCAAGAATTCGGAAAACCCAAGGAGGAACTTCCACAAAGCTGTGGATGCTACACCGAATTTCGGACCCTTTTTGCGAGCCCCGCCTTTTATATCGTGATTATATCGAGTGCAGTAACAGCCGTCATCGACACGATTTTTCTCACTACCGTGATTGATTTTGCAGTCGATCAGGGTAGCGTGAAATCAGATGCAGCATGGTTAAAACCATGTTATGTCGCAGCGAGCGCATTTGGCCGAATCTTTCTCCCTCTAATAGCCGACACAAAATGTCTGCGACGAAGCACGTTTGTAATGCTTAGTTTCGTGCTCGTAGGCGTCACGTTGTTGGTTGTTCCCTTTGCGACGACTTACTGGATAATTGCGGTTTTATGCGCGCTGACAGCAGCCTTTCTCGGGGGTGGGAGCGTTCTTCACGATGTTCTGGTCGTCGACTACCTTTCCATGGAGAGATTATCCATAATTCATGGAGCCATTGGCGTGGTCAAGGCTCCTTTGATCATCTCCAGTCCCCTTTTGGTTGGTAAGTAAGAAAAAAAAAACAAGAAACATATATAAATATCAAGTTATGCATTGGGTAGAATCTCGCGGAATTCATTCAAGCTAGAACCTTTGGCAATTAATTTTAATATAAGCATATTATTTTTTAATCATAAACGCTCACGCAAAATGGTTTATTTCGTGGGATGTCCTCTATTAAAGAGAACTGCACATTATGCAATTTAAAGCATCCAGAAAATGTACCTTCTTGCAATATGTTAGCAAAAATAATAAACATTTATAATATAAGTTTGCCAGCAACAAATGTAATTGGTATTTGAGTCACACCATTAATACGGAGGTATGAGGGATAGCAACTGTATTACCGATTTTCGTTTAATATGGATAATTACTGTATAAATAGCGTTCCTTTGGTAAGTCAACTAGGAAATCATCTTTCTTCTGCACTAAACTATGTATTCTTGTAAAAATGTATTTGTCAAGTCATTCCTAACTAGAATACCAAAATAACCTTATTTAATACTGAATTCAAAAACACCCAACAATTATTTCACAGGTCTTCACAAATTCAGTGAGTCGGAAATTCGACATGCGCCAATATGAATAAGGACATTGTATGTTCATGCTTGCGCCTAGGTGCAAAAACGAACACTCAAATAGTTCTCAATCGTCACCGATATTTTCGCAGGTGTTTTTAAGCGTACCTGTAAGCCCGTTGGTTGAATTCGCACATCGAACCTTGTATAATTGCGTTTGCATGTGAGTTCACTCTTTGACAAAAAACAATAAAACTCTTTGTTAGGGTACAAATCAAAAATAGCAGGTCAAACCACCTTAATTCGATATACTTTTTTTCAGGTTTTGAATAAACCGAACACGCAGTTCTTCCAGTGTATTTTTGTCATTGATGTGACGCATTTTTATTGAGATTTGATAACTGGAGATGTTAGATGTAAAGTGCTCAGTATGATGGAACATTTCATGAGTACAACTCTCTTTTCAGATGCACTCTACAGCATGTCTGGATCTCACAATAACCTGTACCGACTTAAGGGAGGATTATTAATATTCTTTAGCCTGATTTGGCTATCTGTCGTGTGCGGAGAACGTAATAATCGACTGAAGGTTCCAGCTGCCAAATCAGAGTAATTTAATTTCCATCATTCAAGGCCGGATGTAAATAAAACAAATCAGATTATTTTTCATTGATTACGTTGTTGACTCTCTCTCTGAAAACCGACGTTTCTTACTTTAGGCAGTGTGCTGTGGGGTAGGATAAAAAACTGATCGTAATTTATACTCGACATTTACGTGCGCTTCCACAAATGTAATTTTATTTCTTTTGTATTTGATGAAACTGATTCTTTGATTAATCAGTACACCGCTCCAAAGACTTCGGAAAATCTTGTGCTACACTGATGAACTCCTCGAACACAACGTCGCATGCACGCGCATGCACACTAAGAAATACAAATTGATTTATTGCAGCTTTGCTGACACTAAACTTACTGACACCTTGAGAAACGCAGTGCTTATAGCTTATTGTGTTCATGCGTTTTGCTTCATGATTCGTTCGTCGGCGTTCTTGTTATCTAATGCTCCAGTCTCATTGACTGAAGGGTAAGAAACGGAAGCTCGCCACAGGGCAAACCCTGTATACTTCAGCGGTCAGTCACTAAAGAATGTAACAAAGTGGTATCGCAGCTAAACTTTCCGGTAAGGTTTTAATGCGAAAGCCTTAACTGTCCCATGCAGCGAAGCCGGCGTTGTCTGCAACCGTCTGTAGCAGAAAAACGGAACCTAAATGTGTATTCCCAAATAAGAAAAAAAAAAAAAGCACAGTATTGCAATGCGTTATGACGGAAGCCGTCATGAAGTTGGCAGGGTTCGCCGCGCTTGCGCATTGGGGGGGGGGGGGGGGGTGGAGAGAGAGAGAGAGAGGGGAGGGAGGTGCGTGATGTCACCGCCGCAGCGTTGCGTGCGGTAGGAAGACATGGCGCGCTCTTTGTAGGAATGCGCTGCGCGTAGGAATGCTCTTGCATTCCGGCACGCAAGTAGTTTCATTGCTGCTATGGGCCATTTTTTCTTACGAGGAACTAATATTGGTACTAGGTCCCATCTAAGCAAATTTAATAGGCCGTGCAAGTATCACGTGACCTCCAGGAGGGGTGGAGGGACGCGCTAGGCGCGGAGTCACCTGATGCGTTCAGAGTGCTTGATTGTTTGCGATGGCTTGTGAAGAACGTGTGAAGAACGGTTTTGCCTCAGGCACTATCGCCTTCATGCGTGCTAGAAAGGCAACTGGGTGATGAAAAACTCTTTCGCATAAGAAAGAGCTTAAAAGAACCCCTTATAGAGTTTTCAGGAAGACCCTCTTGAGAGAACGCTTAAAATACCCTCTTAGTGTGTAAATAATTGACAAGCCGGCGAACCACTAAGAGTTCTTTTACGGTCAAATTTTCGTCAGAATGTAGTATCTCCTGTGGTGCTCCCGTAATGTTGAAACGGTGCACGTGTACAGCAGTTCAGCTTCGTCGTTGTTATAAAATCAAGCAGTTTTTTTTTTTTATAAATAGTAAGTTTTTTTTTATCGGGTACCTTCGGTCAGAATTTTATTATTATTGTTATTATTATTGCATAGTTTGAACGTTATCAATGCATACATTCTCAGCATTTTCTGTTTAGAGCCTAAGAAACAGTTTTACAAACCTGTTCATCTCAGCGGCCTTAGATATAACTGAAGACGCGTTGAATTTTCGTTGCAGTACCCCTTTAATGCTCCAGAATCGGCTGTTTCCTTTAAATGCATGCTACATTCTTTCTGGAAACCACAGACGTCTGACCGTTTAGCATATAATAGAGGTCCCGACGCTCGTTTAATTGCGCTTTCGCTAGAAAACAAAGCCGCATTTGTTTTTCGAAATGCAACGTCTCAACGCAAGAAAAAATATAAAGTTGGCGGTTAAGGAATGACCATATGCTACGTTTAGCCGGCGTCCGAACATGAATGTTTTCAAGCTGCAATTACCGATTTCCGTGTTTGTTTTTTTTTGTTTTTGTTCGGCTCAATGCTAGATTTAGTTTACCCTTAATTCTTTAAATATCGATTCTCATGTTGTGATACGGAAGTGTCCTGTCCATGCGTCGCTCGGCATGTGGTGGTGGTAACGTCTTGACTCATGACACCAGCGCTGACATCAAACCGCAGGGTGACGCTTCGGAGCGTCTTAGGTGTCTCGCGGATGCTAGCGGAGCAATGTCAAAGTAGATAGAAGGTTTATGTATTTTTTCAACTCATTTAACGCCAGTGCAATGAATGATTTACCGTCTATTATTATCTTGTTTTCGGGGTTGTAATATACGCAATCTTTTATCACAACGTTTCATTCGGCAACTAAGCCGAATGATTTAGGCAACTAAGCCGGCCAGACAGATTTATTTTTATCATTATAGCAGGGTTTACGCACAAATTACGTTCGCCGAGAAAATAAAGCCGGAAATAATAAAACTGTGCACAACTGCCATTTTGAAGGATCAAATTGACAAAAAACAAAAAGACGACCTTTATATTGACGTCTCCCTTACTGTATCATGGGCATTGCACTTTCCGGTAGTTGTACACTCAGTGTCCCACTGTTTTTGAAGAAAATAGGCGACTGGCTTCTTTCACTTCAAGATGACGCACGCCGAACGCCTTTGTGCTCAGCATTATCTCTCGCTGAATGGAAATAAATGGGTTCACCCGATTGCCAATATCAGGAGCTGAGCCCATTATCAAGAAACCGCTTATCGTGACAATTGAATGGCGCATGGCCACTTGGACGAGTTAACACTTATCCACCCAGAATTACTGATATCGAGACGTCAATGAATTATCGCTAAGTGCCACATTTTTGCTGCAATCACGTAGAGTCTCCAGGGGCCACAGGGGATGCAGTCCTGCAGCGTACGAAGGCTGTTAAAAGGTAGGTGTTTACCCCTGCTTTTTTTGTAGAATTTGAAACGTTCGTAGACTAAAAGGAAGGAACTAAAAATATGTAAGTTGTTTAAGATATTTTAATATTTTTTAATGTTATAAACATATGATCACATAGGGATAGGTAACACCCCCTCTGACACAGCAAACAGTCGCGCGATTTCCAATATTAAATTCAGTCAGCACAGTTCACCATTGTAGTGTAATACTGGCAAAGATATGAGCAGTGCTATTTTTTATAGCTGGATCTAACGGGCTTACGGGACAAACTATTAAAAATACGATAAATGTATTTTGTACTTTACTTTTGTTAAATAGCTTGTTTTGCACGTGGATATTTTGTATGAGTTATAGAGATTATGGGAAGATTGGGGGGGGGGGGGGGGTTATCCTTCAAATACGTCATAGTTTTGATATAAGGTTTCCTTATGTAAATTACCAAAGTTGTTACTGACTAGTGACTTAATTGGGATATTTAATCATGCAGAAACTAAATAGCTTCAAGCGAGAGTCCATTTGTTTTCTGAGGAGCGTTATCCTGGCGGTTTTCCTTTCTTCGTAATAGTGCTGATGTCAGGACTCGTCCGCGTGAAACAGACAGGAGGGAACCCATCATCGCAAAGAAGATGCATTTTTCGTTCTCGTCTTCTCATCATGGTCTCATTGAAGGGGGGAGAACGCCCGCTCGCTTGGTCGCCTAAGCAGTCGACTAAGATTTGTTAGTCGACTGCTTTGGCGCGCGAGGTGACTAGGCCCTAAACACGACCGGTGAATTCCAAGCGCTCTTTTAGGGGCGACCATCGCTCGCCACGTCATCATTTTATTCAATGACGTCGCTAGTCAGTGGTGAAACAAGTGCTACACGCGGCAGGTGAATTCGGGTGATATTGGTTATGTGGTACAAAGAAAGTCGTTGAGACTTATTTTTAATAAATATGGGCGGAACGATTCACGGTCATAAATAATGGACCGAACAGACCTGACTCCACTTTTCCACCACACGAGAATTGCCATGTTAAAATCCCCTTTTGAGATCATTACGGGCGGCCCCCATATCAACACAGACAACATATTTCGCTTCGCCACCAGAACTAACGCTAGAGCTTCACACCCAAGACATATAAACAAATTCCAGAAGACTCGCATAGATTGCTTTAAAACTCGTTTGTTCCTCGAACTATATCCGATTGGAATAGCCTGCACTCCAGCATCCCTAATTCAGAATCACTTGACAACTTCCTGCACCGGCTGATCATTTAATATTATGTGACTTGGATCATCATGTCAGAATCATTTGAAGATTTTGCAACTTTTTCCTACAATATACCTGCGCCGGGGTAGCAGGAGTGTAAAATAAATAAATATCAGAATTTTTTAGATAAAATATTTAGGCATAGAAATCTTGACACTTAAATGCTTGCACTCACTCTTTGAACACGTTCGTGCAATAAGGCATGGCGACAGAACTGACAATAAAAAATATATATTTCCGGATATTTTTTTATAAACCTATACGACGTGCAAGTTAGGCTGCCTCTTGCGCACCTTTACTTCGTTCCAGCTTAGGCCCGAGCGCGGCCGATGTTATGAGCCGAAGGGCCAATCAAACAGCGAAAGAGGCCCAACGTCATGGCGTGCTCTCTGCAGTTGATAGGACCAGCCGGTATTCGCTGTCTCTCTGTGGGTGCTCCTCCGCCGGCTAGTCCTATCAACCGCAGAGAGCACGCCAAGACGTTGTGCCTCTTTCGCTGTTTGATTGGCCCTTCGGCTGATAACCTTGTCCGCGCTCGGACCTAAGGTGAAACAAAGTGTAGCGCCCATGGGATTTTGTTTCCCCTCGACCTCAACTAAATGACGGCCTCTCCATCCTGCGTTCCCTGCTTGTTATGTATGTTGCCCTTTGATTGGAGTGCTCCTCCTCGCGTTACGATGCGCTGAAGACGCATTTTGGTACACTTTATCGCCGTATATTTGTGATATAATTGCCGCGTTGGGATAAATGTCGCATCAGAAGGCTAGAAATGGCACTTTTTTTTGGTGTAAAAAACTTTCACCTTAGGTGAATGACTACGACGCCTTGAATACCAGTGCTACATCCTCAAAAAGGTAATTCGAGGAAAATTGAAGCGGTGAATTCCGAAAATGTGAGGACATCGCTAAAGGACTGGGTTAA